AGAAAGAGAGGTTTACTGATCCAAACGAAATGGAAGGGGAAAAGTTTCAGTGTCGCCTGGAAACAGGGACTGTATTGAGATGTTGCCTTTGCTTTGTGAACCATATCTTCGAGAGAATCGCTGCTGCAGCATCCCGTCACGACCATAACAACAAGCCATCCACCATCACCTACAAAGTGCCGTGCTGTGAACAAGTACACCAGCTCCAAGAAGAAAGTTCACCAGAGCTTCTACTTACATACAACGGTCCTTTTCAGGACCACCAAAATAGAACAAAAGAATACTTGAAACGTTGATGAATGACTGACTGACTGAATGAATGAATGAATGACTGAATGACTGACTGACTGAATGAATGAATGAATGAATGAATGAATGAATGAATGAATGACAGAATGAGTGGGTGTTAATAATAAATTCATTATAATAAGATCGGCAATGGACCTGAACACACAGTCGACCCACACCATGTACTGTTTCTGTGGGCACCCTTCACGTTCTGATAAGGCGGCACGAGTTGTTCCCCTTGGACCGTATCAGAAAACCTGGCATTCCGTGCTGGTCCCGTGCATCATTTGCTTTAAAAGAGCACAGAAGTAGTCTATCTTGATGCTCGACGGAGGTCATATAATTATGAACGTACGCTAACCATACTCGGCACATTACTGCAGATGCCATTAGACAATGTTATGCCAAAATATGAATCTGATACACATATAGGGTCAGACGATACAGAGTTTTCCTGGATACTACCGTCGCGCAGGAACTGTGCGTGATTTGCTTTAAAACAGCACAGAAATAGTCAATTCCTTGTTCGACGGATGTGGTACAATGTTGGACACACACTGACCATACTTGGCACATGACTCCACCTGTCATCAGACAATATCATACTTAAATAGGAATCTCATACACTCATATGCTCAGACGATACAGAGTTTTTAGTGATACTACTGTTGTATGAACTGTGCATAATTTGCTGTCAAATCACACACACATGCACGAATTGTTCCCTTTGGACTGATAATGAGCTAAACTATATACCTGACATATCACAAAGCTGACTGAAAATACATAGCATGACCCATATTGTGGGGAAAGAGGCAATAGCAGTAATTATAGGTAGCTAGGGTTAAGAAACATGGCTTGTTGAAGAGCGACTTTAAACCCGCACATGTACTCACCAACATCTATAATGCTGTATTCTGTGTGAAGAGAAATGCTGTAGTTGAGTGATCTCATATTGGGTATGAATGACTGTCTTATATAGGTAGATAGGTTTGTTTGTAGGTAGATAGGTTTGTTGTATGTGGGCATCTTTGTATCTATGCGATGCTATTCAAACTTCTGTGGAGTAAATGAGCCAGTAACAGACTTTCTATACTTTGTATAAGAATAAGAATAGGTGTATTTTATTCTATTACTTAGCCTGCCTTTTACTAACTATCATTCACCGCCAGTTCGCTGGGTAATGAGCTCACTCGAAACTCAATCGTCAGAGGATGAACAGCTCTCGCTCACTTTTGCGACATAGCTTTCGACATACATTTGGAGCCTATTCTGAGGACGTTTTCAGCATTATAGTGGATATCTTATCCATGTATTGTCCATTTAATATCGTTTGGATAAAAGGGGTAGTTGTATCAGTGTGTTTTATTGTCAAGTTTGATTTTGCTTATCTTATTGCGTTAAATACCCAAACACTGACTCAACATTCATTACACATATGATGTAATATCAGTAAGATGATTCAGAGCAGTAGCATTGCTATGGGAGATAAAAGACAAGGCCAGGCGTGTGATCATGGCATCAAGGAACGAACAGAAGTATGCATTTGTAATCATAAATGGGTGAATGGAAATAAGCCTGAGAGAAGGAATGAATGAGGTGTTCTTTAGCCTGGTTTTATAGCTATGCACATCTACAGTCATTTGTGTGGGTTTGAATAATGTATTTGTGCGAGTAAATGAATGAATGACCGAATGAATGAATGAATGAATGAATGACAGAATGAGTGGGTGTTAATAATAAATTCATTATAATAAGATCGGCAATGGACCTGAACACACAGTCGCCCCACTATGTACTGTTTCTGTGGGCACCCTTCACGTTCTGATAAGGCGGCACGAGTTGTTCCCCTTGGACCGTATCAGAAAATCTGGCATTCCGTGCTGGTCCCGTGCATCATTTGCTTTAAAAGAGCACAGAAGTAGTCTATCTTGATGCTCGACGGAGGTCATATAATTATGAACGTACGCTAACCATACTCGGCACATTACTGCAGATGCCAATAATGGTTGTATCCCCCTTCAATTTTTATGATTGGAGAGGTGGTGGGGGTGTGTGTGGTGTTGGGGTGCAATAATGGTTGTGACAACCATTATTGGCATGAGTATATGTTCGCGCTGTTTTAAATAGGCAACACAGAAGCACTTTTGCCAAATTATGTTGCAGTTCTCTCCCTTTGGCGATAGAAGTAGATAGATATTCGCGTCCTAAGACCCCACTTCATCTGGGTGTATGCAAGCTTTGTCAGAGCCATCACATTGAAGATGAGATACACTTTTTGACTGAATGTGAATTTTATTCCGATTTACTCTACGAATTGCTCCAGCTGGCTTCCTCAACTGATACAAACATCTACAGTAGAATATCAAAGAACAATTTATAAGCTTGATGCAAAATGATAACCTTACTAAAACCTTAGCCGCAGTTGTAACTGCTTTCTGTAAGAGAAGGAAACTCCAATGTGCACTAAACTCCATCTACTTTATTCAGTTACTACCATTGCAAGGATCTGGTCTGATTTATTATTTCAAGTGATCTCATTTGGGCGCAGAGCATTTAAAACTAAAGGGCAGATAATTACAGGTGATTAAAGGGCAGATAATTACAGGTGCGTTGTCACATGTTTCGAAGGTCTCGTGGCGACATGCATGGTCGTCAGGCAAGTTAGTATGTTCGTCTTCGTAAGAGCGCATATAAAACGGTAAGAAAACATTATGAATTGATATGTTTGCAATGATTTGGTTATCATATCAGTTATTGTAAGTAAATGAATGAAAACTATGCAGTCCGTAATACGTTATGACTAAGTTATGTACTGTTGTAAACAATTGACATTACTGCTGTATGTGAATCTAAGTTAGTTTTGTTTATTGTTACAGTCAATCACATTTCAAGTCAACACAATTCAACCAATCTTCTAAGAATAAAGATATGACGTCGCTCTCTCATAATCATCGTTCGTTCGTTCGTTAGTTAATACATTGACGTTTTATGCATCGCTGGATAACACCACTTCGCTCGTGTTGCACGTGCTACAGTTCGACCGCTTGTGAGAGACGTTCTCTGCCCACCTCGTCTGTTGCTGTTACCCCCCAACTACATCCCAACCGCATTAGTATATGCACTTTAATTAAAGTTGTTTTGAATATTGTGACTTTGATATAAGTTTTGTGTCAATTTGACTTTGCAAGTATGTCTGAGAGGGATACTGAGTCACATTCACAGCAAAAATAACTTAGTTTCCGTTCTTGCGGAAACCTAATGGATACTGGGTAATGTAGGTTTCCGCTAGGTTTCAGTATGCGGAAACAGACAATGCGAGTTTCCGCATAGTTTACAACACTGAAACTAACAAATCTAGGTTTCCGTCAAGTTTCTACAACTGAAACTATCATTATGTGTTTCCATTTAGTTTCAGTTCACTGAAACATTCATAGCAAAATGACTTAGTTTCCGTTATTGCGGAAACCTATTGGATACTGGGTAATGTAGGTTTCCGCTAGGTTTCTGTTGGTTTCAGCTTAGATGAAATGGCAAACTTAGCTTTGTGCTGTTCCATTGGGGGGACAATATTTACTTACTGTTACATTTGCAAGATAATTTCTATACACAGAATCCAGCTAGGGTCCATGCAGGAAGCGAAAGTATTGTACGTTCCCGTAGTCCCTAGTATGTTGATCAGCCTTCAGGTGTTTGCAATCTATAGCCCATTTTTATACTGTACCGTTAAAGTGTTTATGGTTACATGCCAGTTTATAGTGTACATTTGTGATAGACTAGTTATTTTACTGTCCTTCGAAAAAAGGTAAGTGTATAAGTTTGTTTTTATTTCATTAGGGATCCTAGACGAATGTGTAATGTTGCTTGCTGATGAATAATCTGAGAGCCTGTAGTAGATCTAACATTATAAAAATGTTTCATGTAAATTTTTTTATAAATATACACATGCATTGCGTTAAAAATGACTTTGAAAGGTGTTGAGAATTAACTGTTATCTGCGTGAAGGGAGGTAACTCTTGTATCTGCCTGTTATAGTTGGTTTATTCAATCACATAAAAGTAGACAAAACGAGATCTAAGTTCCAAAATAATACAACCTATGTTTTCTTGAATTGTATTGTCACCTCAGTACACAATGAGAATGCGTTTGTAGAATGTTAAAGTACTGTTTAAGGGAGAATAAAAACCACCAAACTCTGCCCAAACAAGTCCATGGTCCACCACTGCATGGAGCTGAGGGTCGTCTGCTTCACTAACACATGATATTTCTTTACAACTATTAATGAATGACTTGGTCATCATTACACAGTGACCTCAGAAGAATAGTATTTGGAGTTACATCCCCTTACTTTCTGGACAACTTATGTTATTGCAATCATTCCTTATCCACCTCAAAAGAATGGAATATGAACTCATTGTTTGCAACAAAAAAAGCAGACAATGTAAGAGTTTAAATCATGCTATCTCAGTATAGTATGTATTTACAAAAACAGATAACATGATGTTACCATGGCCCCATATATTTGTGAATTCTCTATCTAAACCAGTTACCAGTATGTTTATGTACTAATTTTCTTAAGTATCATAAAATAAAAGTTTTCATTAATTTGTAGTTTTTCAACTTTGGAAAAGTAATAACAGAAAATGCATCTACAATGTTAAGGTTAAATGTTTTCTGTTCAGTTTTCTGTTGCTACATATGTTATATGGCAGTATACCATACATGTATTGTATGTAACCTCCTACATAACATTACAACATATTTTACAAGAGAAAGAAGATGAATTTGAAGAGGAGTTATCATACATTCAGCTAAACACATGCCTGTGTTTCATCGAATCCTTCCAACCCATTAAATATGTTTGTCGTTTCACACAACACCCAGCAATATTGAAGCCATATGAAAGGGGCTACAAATAATTTTGTTGGGACCAGTGAAACCAGTGACTGACATCGCAAGTACTGCGCAATGTGGATTTGATGACATGTAACAACCAACTGAGCGAACCTGACTACTTTATCATGTCAGTCACATGTTGCGACAAACATCCATGTGTTGCTTAAGACCAAACCTCAAGTTACATATTGGGTAATCACAACATAGTGCTCGTCCTCTCTCTCTCTCTCTCTCTGTCTCTCTCTCTCTCTCTCTCTCTCTCTCTCTCTCTCTCTCTCTCTCTCTCTCTCTCTCTCTCTCTCTCTCTACATGTCATTTCACACCCATACTAAGGTCTGTGACGTATTTATGCATAGAAGCAATCATTTATACAATAAACATTCAAAGCATGAAATATATACGTATACACCCTGTAAACATAGAGTTGCTTTAAGTAGCACAATACCATACAAACCTGTCGTTGTGCATCCAGTTTGCCTTAGCTGTCTGATGTTTAACGCAGTGGGAAGCAAGGTAAGTACACATTCTTATCTTCACAAACATATATCATGAACACATGTATTTTCAATACTTAGTACACTTCAAATGTGATATATCTTCATTTTTCAAGACGTTTCCGATGTCTGGATCTTGAGGTTCAGTGAAGCATTCAATTGTGTCAGGATCATCTCTCAAACATTTGTGTTAATTTAATGTGATTTGTAAATACAATACAAAATATTATTATTTTCTATTTTCGTATTGATTTTATGTGTACGTATATTAGTATTTGTAACAGCAATATTATTGACAACGTTCAAAAGGGGAATTCCACAAAATATATTAATAGAAACTTCAGTAAAGGGCCACAAAGTGTATCATTTTCAAGATAGTACAGGGATGGTCAAAGAAGCCTCAAAACGCAACAAACAATTTCCATTTCATATGACATAATAGCCCCAATATTTCCGTACACCTCTTTCGATTTCAACTTGACAACTTGTCTGTTACTCGGCCTCAATGCAAACTGATTTGAAGCGCAATGTTTACATGAACGTATCTATCCCCCAAAATAAGATAACGGCACTTTCATAATGTATCATAATGCATCTGAACTGGTTTTTATTGGACTACTAAATATTAATAAATTGTTGAAAGTCAATGCAATACATACAAGCTATTGCTGATCGGATATGAGGCGCTCCACATCGGTATTTAAGCACATGTTGAACGTGTATTCGTGTCGTGCGACTCGTGGTGACACTTTATTTATACCCGTGCAAAGTAATACCGGGCATATCATTTCCGGTTCGTCGAATTCTGTTAATTAATTAAAGCCGTTATTATTTACACATCCCAAAAATTCAGTGTTACGTGCGATCTTCATATTCTATTACCACTGTATTTCTCAAATGCCTTTATCTTCAAGATTGTCTCCATGCAAGTTTTGACTCGACCCGACATCGAGAAAATAATCTAAAAATACACTTAAGTTAAGCTACATGATGATAAATTGACTTTTTCGGAAGTTATAATAATTATTACTTTTTTTCGTGCAATTAAAATTAATGTAGTCAATAAGAATAATTCCGCCTGCAATAATAAGTGGAGCCGATGTGAATGACTGATCAGCACAAACGGCAGCCATCACAGCCGAGTCGGGACAGGCGTGGGATGGTCGCTGTGCATTTGGATACTACTAACATGTATTGTGACGCTTGGCAGAGCTGATTTCGTAATAATTCTGTTAAGTATTGCTATTATTGTTTATGAAGATTGTTTATTTGTGGAATAAGTGCACGTTTACGACGCATTGCAGCTTTTATTTTATGCCATTTTCCAACTTGTAAAGCCCGCTCATAGCGAGACGGGGAATCCCGTGACGTCATTAGGAAGCCTAATTTCATGTACACATTTACAAATTTAGCTTTACGACTTTCCTAGTCACGATATGGCTGCCGATGTGACTTTGTAACTCACTACCATTCTGCATAACTTGTGAATGTACCATTTATTACATTGTACACGAAAAACAACAAACACAGTAACACAGTCACTGATATGATTCATCTGTTTCATTATTTTGAATAGCTCACATTTCAACAGAACCCAACAATGTATGTATGTATGTATGTATGTAGGGATGGATGGATGGATGGATGGATGGATGCATGCATGCATGCATGTGAGAAGCCACATCAAGAGGGAATCTTCAGCATTGGAGAACACAACTTCTGTATGAATATGCAAATACAAATATGTCAAAACCCTACAACATTTTATGCATATGATGAAATGATGTCTACTAGTGCAGGCATTACATACTTGCTGTGGTATTTATTAAACAGATTTCAAATTCAAATGTTTATTGTATGAAAGGTCATGGGCCCATATACATGAAATGTGCATTTGAAGCTGCCTCAATGTATCTTAACATATACACACTAACAATCTCACATAGTAAAGACTTGGCAACTTGCTGACAATCATGAAGCTTCTATTGCACTCATACAGAGCAGACAGCCATCCTCTGATCTGGTACATATGAAGCAGAGCCTGAGATGAGACATTTGTTTTGCCACACAGAGAAAGGGGAAATATAACCAAATTGATTACAACAAGGCTTGAACCAGTCCACAACCGCAAACAGAAGGTGTATGCTCTACTTAAGATATGTGGGTGAATATGAAGAGTCCTGGTTGATGTCTGGCACAACATCGTTGCCATGCTCATCGTCCCACACAGACTATGCATCATCCTATAAATACAATACATGCAATGCTTAGTAACACTACAATAACAGCCAAAGTAACTCATGTATACATATTAAAAAACATGCACAGTGGTACTTCTGATCACAATGAAATTATAAAATTAGAACGACTAATTTGTAGATGTAACCAAAAGATTTTTTTCACAATCACAAAGGAAAGATCTGTAGTATACATGTATATTGTATCTTCCATTGGATAGTCACTTATTTGATTGATTGGTACCAGAAAATAGTAGCCATCCTAGTATTCTGAAGCAAATTGTGGTAATATTTATTACTGTTACTGTACTCATATTCGCAGTAACATCTACTACCAAATCGCCAATTGAAATCTAAGCATAGGTAAGACGGTACATACATATTTTAAATAGATACGAATCATGTTTAAACACTGAATGTAACACCTGATTATAAATGTGATCTTATTCATTTCAAATTGAAATCACCAACTCAACTGAAAAAAATCATACAAAACCTAACATTTCCCATGAATGAAAAATCGTGGGTATTTCTTAGTTTTATCAACCCTCTAAGGAAACATTCACAGCAATGAAATAACATAAAATATTATTTTTTAATGCGACCTTTACTTTAATTTAAAAACTGTAAAATGTGTAACACAACTTATTCACTTTCAGTTACAGTTACATATCTGATATACAATATTAATGCGACCTTTACTTTAATTTAAAAACTGTAAAATGTGTTACACAACTTATTCACTTTCAGTTACAGTTACATATCTGATATACAATAATTAAATATATTCGTTATTGATATATGATGGATAACAAAGGGACAGATCAAACTGAAGTCGTTATGTGAAACCTTTGAAGTGAAGTATCTTTGACGACTAACCTGATGAGAAACTGCCGTCCATTCCAGACGGATTCCTTGTTTCCTTGAAACAAACGACTGGCAGTGCGGACAGAAAACTGGTCTTTTTCTTGGGACTGAAAAACATATCAACTTATAATTACACTGGAATCCACGCACTGTTACATTTTGATAAAGATATTTATTCTATGTATTGATTTAGTGTTTACTTGTTTTTGACTAAATGCTGATGAATAAAAAATATTGTTTTAAGATTTCCTTTAATGAAATTAGGAGCATGGTATGGTGTAACTATAAATGATTACCAAGCCAAGCCTCTTGTCAATCTCCAACAAGTCAGTGGATCCACAATACGTATCTGTAAATTGAAAAAAATGATTCTTTTAGAAATGTTATACGTGACTTGTGTCAATGCATTGTAAGGCGAAGAGGTTTAATAATTGATTACACAAATTATCACACAAAACTATGAGTGTAAAGTATATGTAATAATTGTTTTAATGGTTATAAAATGATAAAATAGATGAGTTGCTTGCTCTTCTATCATGCTGCATAGTATTTATTACTTGTTTTGTTCGTGTATCAATGGAATGGAGAGGTATTCAAATAAGCCACTGCGGCTTGTTTACCAATCCTGGTTCAATTTGTTTTGAATAAAATATGTTTACACTAAAATAGATGAACTAGTATAATTGGATAAATACCGCCATATAGCTGGATAATTGCTGAGTGCGGCGTAATACTAAACTCACTCACTCAGATATATTGAGCTGACAGTACATATAAACTAGTAATAAGTAAACTTATAATACATGGGAATAGTATCCGTAGATCTAGGTGTAGACCTGAAAAGAATGAACATGATATAAGCATGTCTAATACACTTGCATGTTTTGAGCTCAATAGGTAAATTACTTGCATGATGAAGTTTTACGTCCAGCAGAAATATTTTCGTATATTGCCTACTCCTGACAGGGTTTTGAAAAATCACCTATTTGCCACTAACACAAGTTCTCATGAAGCTCGATCAGGACTTTTAAAGTAACGTGAATATGTTTTCAGATTTATTCACTGTTAATTATCTCTAGGCCTACATGTTGATGCTTGACACTGAGGAGGAGCAATTAGTGCCCATAATGCGATGAAAAGACCCTTAAGCCCATAACAGCCCACTGTTGTCACTTTGGGTACTCACATTCAATCTGCTCATTTCCACCTTTCACGGTCCCCTTTGATGTCGGCAATGTAAACAAATAAAACAATGGCGACCGGATCACGTCCACGCGAGACTACCTAAATCATTATAAAAACACAGCTGACATTTTAGGTGTATAGTGTATGTTTATTTTGTTGTATAACGCGGAAAGATATTGTCAAACTGTAATGTTAGATTTAGATTAAAAAACAACAACAAAGTGTTTTTCCCGTGAGTCTTTGCGAGACGCCATTTTCATAGCCGCCTCAGTTTCCCTCAAAGCACTGGAAGAGAGAATTCGCTACCTGGAAAAGAAAGATGAAAATGGCTGCGATAAACTCGCAGTACCACGACCCTGTCAGGTAAGACCAAGTTATTTTGTTGTCAAATAACTTTTAATGAATTATTATTTACTTTACGTACAGAAATCCGGATTGGTAAACAAGCTAATCTGTCGAATTACAGCCACTGGCCATAGATATTCGTCACTATGCATGATTCGACTTAAATGTTAATTTGGTGCAGCTAGACATATGTCTTGAATTTATTTAATATCCGTTTGATATTGTTCATATTTTGCACATGGGTCATGAATCATCTCAGCTACAAAGACATAATTTCCGTTTTATTTTCAATTCAGTGCGTGTCATGGTTATGGCAATTATTAACATGGCGGTCTATGGGGAAAGAATACGCAATGTTATATATATGTTGCTCATGTAACTACAATGCGGAAAATTATGTATCTGTGACCAAGATGATTTCCTAACAACCTGCCAAATTTGACAGCCAAATATGGAAAACTGAATTAATGAAAATTACACAGCTACACTAAAATAGCATGCAAGTCTATGAGAATTTTGCCGTCTAACGTATATTCAAGTCCCATGACTGTATAAACAGTTTGCTCGAACTATTTTCAAACGATGGTGAAGTAAAATAAGTCTATCTAAAAATATACTACAATTTTGAAAAATATAGCAAATAGATTATATATTAATGGATTTGTTTTATTCATTTAGGCTGTTGTGAGGAACATGTGTCACGACTACTCCTGGAGGAAAAGATCACCCTCTCTTACTGAAGGTATGTGTTTATGGTACTACGAAAGATAGACATAATTTCACTTTTAATATTTTATTATTATGCTTCCCTAGATACATTTTCACAAAATGAACCATACTAAAGTTACATTTGCAAATGGATTTGAATAACCGGTAACTTAATCATGATTTCAAATTGGACCAAATAAATCTTAACTTCACACCTGTGTGAAATTGCAGTCAAACTGACCCCTTGATTTTACAATACCGTAATTTCTCCAAGGTTATGTCACATGAGATAACTAAACTCCATTCATCAGGATGTTTATGTCAGGCCGTTCACTTACTGATTGCATAATCTAAAGTGATAAATCTGTAGTTTGCTTGTTGGTATAAATGTCGCTGCAATTGTTTGGGGTTTTAAAACTCGAATGAATGAATGGGGAAATGTAAAGAAAGTAACGTGTTATTGTTTATTTATTTTCAGCAAAGCTGATGAGTCTGGAGACTGTATAATGAATGACCAAGGATGGTCAGCAGGAACATGTGAAGGTAATATTTTGACCTATCTGTAGTGACTTTCATTATAAATAGTAAATAATTTCAAATTAATAGTGTAGAGACAAGGTTTATGGATGTCAACTCCTTTATTATGTGAATACATGTTTGAGAGTGAATGATTACCCCTTCGTCAGGTGTAAGCATTCACTCCGAAACATTGTGTTTTCACATAATAAAGACGTGGACATCCGTAAACATTCATGTCTTGTATTATTCACTTCTAAATACACCTCAAAGACTTAATGGTGTAAACATACAGTAACTACTGGGTGAATATACTTGGCCTTCAACAATACGACTGACTGAGTGAGTTTGGTTTTACGCCGCTTTTAGCAATATTCCAGCAACATCACGGCGGGGGACACTAGAAATGGGCTCAATACGAACTGTAAGAGATTGAATATAGCAATTTGATGAAAATCTATTACTAGTACCATTATTACTATATAGAAAATGCAATAAATGTTCAGATATATATATATATATAACGTATTACTACCTCTGGTCTGGGAAGCATGTAACTCCAGAGCAAATGTTGTATAGATTGTGTGTCCTCTTTAGAAAATAAGATATTTCATTCGGTCAATGAAGTGTGATGAATTGGATAATTTGAGTTTTGAGAAAACTAGTGCAAAGTGTGATTGTTCAATTTAGTTCTCTTTTATTCAAACTTCCTTTTGGATTACTCATTTTAAATCATCCTCGGCATTTTCAGTTTCTTGTTGATTGATGTTTGTGTAAGTTATCAAAATAACCTAGTAATTCGTTATTACCTGCCATTTTCAGAAATTTGCACAACACAAAGTGACAAATGCATGAGTAAGTCAAATAAAAGTTCATCTCGTTCTTCATCAACCAAATCATCAGTGTCTGCTGCAAGACTAAAGGAGCAACAGTTAAAGGCCGAGTTACTTGCCAAGGCTGCTGTACTGGAACAGAAAAAAGCTTTGGAAAAGGAAAAATTAAAGTTGAAAATGAAGAAAGGTTAGCCCTGCATACAGAAATGGCTATTTCTGATGCAAGAAGTAAAGCACTTCCTGATTTCGAAAAGGAGTTTTGTGCTTCTTCTCGTGCTACAAATGTGACAGACATTAAAGAGGATATTGATGATAAAGTTGCTGATAGCAGTCCTCTTATGACACATGATGCAAAGAAGAAACTACTTGAAGATTTTCTCAATGATTCCCAGGGATTTGAAACCCAGACACAAGATGTGAAGAAGGTCGTTCTTGACTTCATTAATGATTCTCAGGCGGTTGATAATACTGCTGCCTTGCATGGAGGAATTAGGAAGAACAGTTCCATTCGGCGCAAGGAGATGGATACAAGAAGTGACATACTTACCCTTGGTGAATCTCGGGTTGCTGGTGAGGACAGGCCCATGCGTTACCCGGACAATAGAAAGAGTGATAATGTTTCTGACATTCTTACTTCTGTTGTACATCACTTAAGTACACCTGTGCCAGAGATTAGTGTCTTTAATGGCCATCCCATGGACTATCAAAAGTTTATTAGACAATTCAAGACCAAAGTTCTGAACAAAACATCTGATCCTGATGAATGTATGACTTATTTAGAGCAATTTACTTCCGGTGAAGCCAAGAAAATTGTGAGCAGCTATGTGTGTTTAGATGCCCATAAAGGGTTTCCAGCTGCCACGCGTGATCTAGAGGAAAAAAATATGGTGATGAAAATGTTGTAGTTAACTCCTTTATAAGCAAAGCACTTAATTGGCCTGTTATCAGAGCAGATTGTCCCAAGGGTTTAGAGGATTATGCTGTGTTTTTGAATGAATGCAACAATGCGGTGGGTACTTCTGGTGTTTTGAACAATATTGATAACATTAGAAGGATCATTGCTAAGATACCTTACACATACCAAGAAAGGTTCAGGTCTCATGCTCAGACATTGAGTGATTCTGGTAAGTCACTAGGTTTTAAGGATGTAGTTTATTTCATGAGAAAGGAAGCTAGAAAAGCCAATGACCCAGTATTTGGGAAGGAAGCTCTGAATAGTTTGCAGCCTAGACCCCCACCCAAGCAAGGGAAGGGTAAGGGTACTTTGTCAAAGATAAGTCTTGCTACAGATGTTCGGTCATCAGCCAAGACTGACTCTGAGGGACCAACCAAAGGGAAGTGTTCCTATTGTGAAGGTGAAGGTAAAGGTCATCGTGTGATAAACTGTGAGAAATTTGCTGCATTGTCTTATCCTAGAAAGTGGGCATCGGTTATGGATAAAAGGTTGTGTTTCAGATGTTTAGAGCCTGGTCACGTGAGCAAGGACTGCCGTGGTAATATTGTTTGTTCTGTGTGTCAAGGTCGTCACAACACTTACTTCCATATGGAGCATCCTCCATCCCAAAGTCAACAGTTCATTCAAAGTTTTACAAGTGCATCAAACTCCTGTTTTTCGTTGGATACAGGGGTCGGTCAGAAATCTGAGGTGTGCACAATGGTAATTGTCCCAGTCAAAGTGAAGATGAGAAACAATTCTCACAGTGTAGAGACATACACATTTTAGGATCCTGGTAGTAGCTCCACCTTCTGCACTGAATCGCTAATGATGAAATTGGGAGTCTCTGGTAAGCACATGAAAGTGAACATTACAAGTATGGGAGAACCTCGAACTATTAACACGTGTGCATTTACTGGTCTACAGGTGTTTAATCTCGCTATGGACAATAATGTTGACTTACCCAAAGTGTTTACTGTGGACAGGTTACCAGTTAGCAAGGTACATATACCAAATGCTGCTGATACCGCGAAATGGTCTCACCTAAAGGATTTATATATTCCTGAAATAAATGCAGACATTGAACTTTTGATTGGCAACAACGTTGCAAATGCATATTCTCCCATGGAGGTGATCGTGGGACCACAGCATACACCACATGCTACGAAGACAAGACTTGGATGGGCTGTTTGGAAACTCACTCGTCCAGGTAATCCTTCCTGTAGTGAAGCTCAAGAGTGCATGA